TTCAAGTAGTAAAGGGTGGAGCTCAAAAATGAATTCAGGTACTCTGAGTCTTGAATTGTGTGCACTTAACCAACCACAGAGCACTTAACCAACCACAAAAGTATTTCAGTTTTCTTTGACACATCTTTAATGACTGCTTGCTGATGACTATATTATCATTCAAAAACTCAAGCTTGTTTATGTAAATAGGTCATTAGAGAAAGAAGGGCCTAAAAAAATCCCAAATAGATAAGCCACAGAACTAGCAACTGCCATATAGTATATATATACTCTTAAAGCAAGAATTTCCAAGGGCTCAAACAGAAGGCTCCCCAGAGTGGCTCACCATGCTCAGTGATAAAACACAGAACTATCGTGAGAAGGTGCTCTTCACACTACAGACAGAGGTATCCCCTCCCGCTTACCCCATTTAAGGTTGCCATTCAGACTTTTCACAATAAGCTGAAGATTCAGAAATAGAATAATTTTTCCATGTTGATTCTTCCATCACTTCCCACAAATAAGAATATTAAAATTATGTAGATATAAAAAGTTGGCATAAAAGACAATACAATCATAGAATTTTACAGGATAGGAACTCAAAACTGTTCATATTGCAGAAGACCTGAAGAGGCTGCTGAGTGCTTTACCTAGGGTTACACAGACAATTAAGAGCAGAACACAATGCAAGTTACTCTCAATCCAGTTCATGCATATCACCATGCTGTCTTGATGTGCCCTACTATATAAAAGTCTCATCCCCTTCAAGAGTCATTTGAGGGGCGCCTGGGTGGCTCAGTCGGTTGAGCGGCTGCCTTCGGCTCAGGTCATGATCCTGGAGTCCTGGGATCAAGCCCCACATCTGGCTCCCTGCTCAGCAGAAAGCCTGCTTCTCCCTCTGCCTACCACTCTGCCTACCACTCTGCCTACTTGTGCTCTCTCTCTCTCTGTCAAATAAACAAATAAAATCTTTAAAAAAAAAAAAAAGTCATTTGAGAATTTGTTCAGATGCATCAATACAAATCTGTATTTTTATTGATACATTACAGATCCATACACACCCTCTACTGACAGCTATTTGAACTCAACCTGAAATAGAATTTTTTAAAAATCACAAAGCACTTTTAAAAGCTTACCGTTGAGATTCAACAAATACTAATTTATCTCTTTTGATTTTCCAAATACTTCAAAAGTAAATAGATCAGCCTTTCTTGTCAAAATATCTAAATCCGTGTTTCTCAAAGTACAGTAGGTCCCAGAATCAGAGTCACATGAGGTACTTGTTAAAAATGAGATTCCTCGGGGTGCCTGGGTGGCTCAGTCTGTTAAGCATCTGACTCTTGATTTCAGCGCAGGTCATGATCTCAGGGTCATGAGATGGAGCCCTACACTGGGCATCCAACTCCGCATGGAGTCTACTTGAGATTATCTCTCTCCCTCTGCCCCTCCCCCTGCTCTCATGGGCACGCTCTAAAATAAATGAATAAATAAAATTTTTAAAAAAACGAGATTCCTAGTATCACCCCCAAATCAACTGAGGTTCTGAAACTCCCAAAATGGCATTTTAAAAAGTTCTCCAGATGATTCTTATTCATTCAAAAGATATTTATTGAATATTCACTCTACAATATTCTAGTAGGAAACAGATAAAGGAGTAAAGAAAAACAAAACATTTTAGATTTTAGCTGTGCAATGAAGAAAAAAAGATAATGAGAGTGACCTGGAGGACTACTTTAAAAAGAACAGTGAGGCACAGGGTTTTTAGGGTGATGAAAATACTCTGTATGGTATTATAATGATGGATACATGTCATTATACATTTGTCCAAACCCACAGAATGTACAAACACTAAGAATGAGCACTAATGTCAACTATGGACTTTGGCTGATTATGATAGGTCAATGTAGGTCCATCAACTGTGACAAATGGACTACTCTGGTGGGAGATATTCATAATGGGGGAGGCTGTGCATGTGTGGGGGCTGGGGATAAACGGGAAATCCCTATTTCTTCCTCTTAATTTTGCTATAAGCCTAAAACTACTCTAAAAGTAAAGCCTTAAATTTTTTTTTTTTTAAAGGGGAGACAGAGAAGGCCTTTCTGAGGAGGCAACATCTGAAGTGAGGAACCCTTCCCTAAAGAAAAGTACTTAAACTTAGCGTGCATCAAAATCACCTGGAGGACTTGTTAAAACAGATGGCTGGTCAGAAGGTCTGGAGTGGGGCCCAAGAATTTGCATTCCTAACAAGATCACAGATGATGTTGGTGCTGCTGGTCCAGAAACTACACTTGGAGAAACACTGATCTAGAAGGAACAGCTAAAAAGTGTGAATAACTTTGGTGTGTTAGAGGAACAGAAAAAAGGCCAGTTAGAAGGAAGGGTAATGCATTTGTCATTGTTTCAAAACCACCTAACATGTTGACTTAAGTTACCAGTTATGGCTCCCTAGACCAGAGAAGGAACCAGTGTTCCATAATACTCACATTTGCAAAGCATTTCACAGTTTATGAAAGTATTTTCACATTTATTATTTCATTTGACTTACTGAGATATAAGTAAAGGGCTATTAGATACATTTTAGAAATAAACTAAGGCGCAGAAACATTACAAACCTCCTTTACAGAAAACAGTTAAGTGGCAGAACTGTCCCTTGACCCCAACCCAGTGTTCTTCTAGAATAGCATGCTTGCTTTTTTAAAGAGCAAAGCAAAGGACACATACAGGAGCTAATACTAACAAATTATTTTCTAGACTCCCTGTCTAAAAATATGGTGACTTCCAGACTTAATTTGTTTCAGTGACTGGCTGGAAAGCAACATTATCTTAAAATGACAATATTTAATCCCATCTACTTACTGCTCCTAGTGCAAAAACAAAGGATGGAAAATGAAGAGGGAATTCACAGACTATTACTCTCTCTCTCCTGCAAAAATATCAGAGAGCCAATTTCATAACTTCAAGTCCCTCAGCCACATCAGTCAAACACAATTTTCATCTTGTGTTCTCTCTCTCACCTAATCCAGGTTCCCACAAGAACACTGAATCCCACACGTCTTGCTATACTCATGAGGCCATGAGCAGTTACACCCATTATCCACCCTCTATACACCCGTTATCACTTCGTATCTTCAACATCAATCAAATCCTTATTCTTAACATAACACTCTTACCTCTATGTCTCCATACTTCAAACCCAAAACATCCATAACTGAAATTATATTCTCCTTCCACCACACACACACCTGCTTCTGTTCCTGAATTCTTTTATTTGCATTAATACCACTGCCACCCACCAAACAAGAAACCTGGAACTCAGCCTAGACACATCTGTCTCCCCCACACCAATCTTGACACCCCCCATCCACATTCCCATGGCTACTTAGAATTAGTTACTACCACGAATTAAGTAGCTGCCATTTCATTAATAACTACCATGCACTAGTCACTTTACACACTTCATTCTATCAATAACCCCATGAGGTAGGCAATTCTGTCCTTATTTCACAACTGAAAAAACTAAGGCTAAGAAAAATTAATCTGTCCAAATCACAAGTGGGACGTAACAAAGTAGACATCCAAACTCAAATGTGTCTCACAAAGTCCGTAACTTTCCCAAATGCCAAAATGCTTCCTTCTTTAATACCTCTTATCATTTAATTCCAAATGCTCATTTCTCTATATTACTGTCAAGATTCCCTTCCTCCAGCCCTGCCTCCCCTTACCCTTCAATATGCCCCCAAGTGATCTTTTTGGATCACAAATGTGATCCTTTTATCCTCTTGATAAAAAAGCCCTTCAGGGACTCCTTTTAGTCTACACTGTACAAGATACACTTTACAGGCTTAATCCCAAACCCTTTAGTACAGGTCAGCCATCTCTTACCCGCAGTTCCAAATTTCAAGAGCTTTGAAATTTTAAAGTTTTTCATAAATTTACAACAAAACCCACCCTGAATTGTGGTAAATTATTTATGTTTAGCCCATTAGTGGGATATTTGTACGTTTCATGGCAGAAACATTAATGTATTTGATAATGACTAGTTAACCTTCAGCTCCAGGTATGTGTAAAGTAGCCTGCGCCCTGAAAACTCCCCAATCCAGTGAGCAACTCACCCTTCAAGAAACCTTCTCAAGGGTTTCCTTTTCAGTGAAGTTCCCCTGACGTTCTCTTGATTTGTCACAACCACTGTACCAAGTACCCACCGCCACTGCCGCACGTTGGGTATGTTTCACCTATATGACTATGAATGAGCTCTTCACTCAGAGTTTTATTCAATCCTAGCACACTGTCTGGAACACTAGGGGCTCGTTAATGTGCAATGAAACCCAGCTGTCTCTGAATCCCAATTCCCCTCAAAGTTCATTTCTCCTTCACCCCTGAACCTTAGGATATTTCCCTAAACACGCAGGCCCTTCAAAGCTATTTTCGCGTCCGGAGTTCCTCCTTCCCAATCTCATCCTAAAATTACTTTCCACCAGACAGCTTCTCTCAGCCCCAAAGCCCCAAACTCTCCAATACCCTTTATCTTCCTCTATTTAGTCCCTAGTCCTTCTTTCCCCTAGCCTGGAACAGGTCAAGTCCTTCCCTCCAAAGCAATTCGTCCTCACAACCCTTCCCGCTTACCTGCTCCCTCAACACCTCTCCCGCTACAGGCCTTTTCCCCCACAACACTCCTCCAAAGCGGTTTCCCGGACCCTCTCTCCTCTCTCTGTCCGAGGCCACCAGCTCCCGAACCTGCGCTCGGCCGGAGTCCACGCCTTCCCGGCCCGGATCCGCACACCCCAAACCTCCCTTGCAGCCGGTGTCCCCTCCCCCAGCCTCTCGCCGCCGGCACCCCTCCCCTCACCCTCCCCTATCTCCCAGGGTCCACCTTCTCTGGAAACTGTCCCGAGGCCGTGCCTTTCACCCCTCAGAATCGCGCCGGTCCGAGCAGCCCCGGGCCCGAGCACCTCCGTCCCCAGGTCCTCCTCGGCCCCGCAAATCTCCTTCAGCCCAGACCTCGGGCAGGGCCTCCCGCTCACCTTGCTGGATGTCGCCGTTGCTGCCCCCCGGGATGGGCACGCTGAGCTGGCGCTCCGGCTCGGGCAGGCAGCGCAGGCAGAAGGAGTGAAGGCAGGGCAGCAGCTTGGGCTCCGCCTCACGCCGGCTCTGCAAGCTCTGCTGACACACGGCGCAGGTGTCCAGGAGCGAGGCTGGCGGTCCAGGAGGCGGCCCCGCCGACGGACCCGGAGCGGGAGCCGAGGCTGGAGCTGGGGCCGGAGTCGATACCGCCCCCCCGGGGACTCCGGGGCCCACTGAGGCCGCAGGGACTGAGGCAGCCGGGGCCGAGCCGGAGGAGGCCGCGGACACCCCCCCGTCGTCGGGCCCGGCCGCGCCGCTCTCCGCGCCCGCCCTGCCGCCTTCCTCCTCCTCCTCCTCTACCAGCACCGCGGCGAGAGGCGGCTCCGCCTCCTGCGCCGCGGGCCCGGCGGCCCCGGCAGTTACCGGCGCGCTACCGCTGCCCCCGCCGCCGCTCTCAGCCTCGCCGCCGCCTTTGTTTTCCGCCATGTTTTCCTCTTTGAACCCGCCGGACCGCCCCGCGCCGCCCGCCGCCCGCGCCGCCGCCGCCGCCGCCGCCGCCCCCAGCCCCAGCCGCAGCCGCAGCGAGAGCGGCAGCCGAGAGCGAGCAGGCAAGCGAACGAACGAGAGCGCGCGCGCACGCGGCGCCCCCGCCCTCGCGTCGCGCGGCTGAAGGAGGGCGGGCGCGGGGCGCGCACGTACGCACGGACGTCCTCCTGCGGGAGGCGGGAACTTGGGGAGCGGGCGGTCGTCCCCACCCCCGCGCCCCGAACTCCGGCACCGCCGTGCTGCGTCCACGCCGCAGCCGCTCGGCTCGCTGGGAGCGTTTGAAGCCCGGGGCCGTTGACGTTGAGCCGCTTTTGGCCGGCAGTGGTTGTGAGCTCGGACACAGCGGTGGTGCGGGAAGAAAAGCGGGAAAGCATAGGAGGCCGGAACCGGTCCCTTCCGAGCCAGCGTCTCCCGGGCGGCGCCGTCCCCAGCGGCTGGCGCGTCTCGGCGCGAACCTCACTTGCCGCGGGGCTGGACGCCGTAGGCTGCTGGCTCCGAGGTGCGGACCTCCTGGGGCTCGGTGCCTTAACCGGCTGCGTTCCTGTGGGTGGTTGTGCCTCAGGGGAGCCATGAAACGGGGCCTTTTTCTCTCTCTCTCTTTGGAGGCCTGCCAGAAATAGGCTGAAAAGATCCCGTGAGGAAGAAACTCTTAACAGCTGTTTTTAGCTTCTTAAGGTGATTGATTCTCAGACGTTTGCTACGTATCAGAAAGCCAGCTGAGGAGCTTTTTCAAAGCAGAGATGTCAGAGCCACACCCCAGACCTGCATCAGGAAGTGGGGGGGGGGGCAGATGAGTGTTGAAAAGTCGCTTCAGCGGATTCCGATGTGCGTCAGTTTGAGGAGCCACGGATCTACCCAATATTATGTCCTGAGAGTCCCACCTAGTGTCCTGGCGTGAGTTGGGTTCCAAATGCCCTGATAATACCGGTAATAGAAGCTTTCAGGAAGGTTTGTCTGTATTTGAAAACAAGTACTCGGGATGTTTATGTAGTGCAGCGGCTGTTTTAATATTAGGATCCTGAAGTGCTCTCGTCTTCTGACAGTGTTCCCAAGAACTGTTATTCTTTGAGCTTGTACCAGTCCTTAAAATAAGCCACTTCGAAACATTTTTCATTTATTCGCTCAAAAATACCGACCTCTTACTATAAGAAATTAGGGAGCGTTTTAGAATTACAGCAGAAAGGAAAGGAGATCTGTGCCTTCAAGGAGTTTGCAATCTAACGGAGATTGACAGTAAATTGATTGATAATAAATATATGCCAGGGAGTGATAAATACTATGAAGACAAAATACGAATAAAAGAGATCAGAGATGACTGAGGAAGGCCTCTGTTGATAGATGAACAATAATTGTGGTTCTTGCAGAAGAGTGTTCCAGGCAGAGGAACAAACAGTAAGTACAAATGATCTGAGGCAGACAGGGATTCTTGGCTTGTTAGAGGAACAGCAAGGAGTCAGTGGGGCTTGAGTGGTTTGAACATGGGAGAGAGTAGTAGAACATGAGGATAAGAAAATTAAGGGGGCCAGGTCATATACAGAAATAGCCCTCGATTTTTTGAACTGTGCCCTTGGGGGACGCCTGGGTGGCTCAGATGGTTAAGCATCTGCCTTCGGCTCGGATATGACCCCAGGGTCCTGGGATCCAGCCCCACATTGGGCTGTGTGCTCAGCAGGGAGCCTGCTTCTCCCTCTCCCTCTGCCTACTTGTAATCTCTCTCTGTCTGTCAAATAAATAAATAAGATCTTTAAAAAAAATAAAAAATAAACTGTGCCCTTGGAAAGAACTTTGAAAAACTATTTTCTCAAACATTGTAAGTAGTTGACTCAAAGTTTTCATCATGCATGTATGTAGTTGCAAAGAGTGCAATTACTGACATTTTGCAATGCTGACATTTTAAAATTGTTAAATTACTTTAAATCTATCCAATGGAAGAGTAAACAAAGTGGTTTAACAAACATCACCATGTAGTTTAAACACCAACATCCATCAAAAAATGTTATATTTGGGGGGCACCTGTGTGGCTCAGTTGGTTAAGCCTCCAACACTTGATTCCAGCTCAGGTCATGATCTTCTCAGGGTTGTGAAACCGAGCCCTGGATTGGGCTCCGCGCTCAGCAGGGAGTCGGTTTGGGATTCTCTCTCTCCCTGGCCCTCTATCCCCCCCACCGCCCCCTTGTGCTCTCTCTCTAAAATAAATAAATCTTTTTTTAAAATGTTGTATTTTGTTAAATAAATACTAAACATGGAAAATAAGTTATTGGGATTGTCATAACGAGATGGCTGGCAGTTGTTTTTTTTTTTTTTTTCAATTAGTTCATGTAGACCTGGATGTGTGTAACATTACTAGGAGGAGACAGGGTCTGGTATCAATTCCATTTTTCATTTTTATAGGTGTAATAAGCACTGTATTTAAAAAAACTATATAGATGTTTGCACATGTGATTTATTTTTATATATGTGACTAATTCCCTTAAAACTATCCTTAACTTGTACACCTTGGAAAAATTTCCTCTGCTGGAACATCCAAGTTCTCCTAACCTAGTTTTAAGATGCTGAGATGGGAAGGCTTGGATGAGTTTTGAGGAAAGACTCAAAGTAGTGAAGAGTCACTGTGGCTGCTTCATAGAGAAATGACGTGTAGGGGTTCACAGTGGAAGAAAGACCAGTTAGGCTGCTAATAGAACAGTCAAGGAATACTGGTTTGGACCTGCATGGTATCTGTGCAGATGGTGAGAAATATGGAATATATATAATAAAAAGCAAAGACTTTTCTCCAAATGGGGCTGAATCTCTCATCCAAGTTTTCCTTCCTTGAATTTTTCTTAACTTTTTTTTTCATTTTATTTTATTTTATTTTTTATTCTTATGTTAATCCCCATACATTACATCATTAGTTTTAGATGAAGTGTTCCATGATTCATTGTTTGTGCATAACACCCAGTGCTCCATGCAGAATGTGCCCTCCTCAATACCCACCACCAGGCTAACCCATCCTCCCACCACCCTCCCCTCTAGAACCCTCAGTTTGTTTTTCAGAGTCTATCGTCTCTCATGGTTCATCTACCCCTCCGATTTCCCCCGCTTCATTCTTCCCCTCCCGCTACCTTCTTCTTCTTCTTCTTTTTTTCTTAACATATATTGCATTATTTGTTTCAGAGGTACAGATCTGAGATTCAACAGTCTTGCACAATTCACAGCACTTACCAGAGCACATACCCTCCCCAGTGTCTATCACCCAGTCACCCCATCCCTCCCACCCCACCCCCCACTCCAACAACACTCAGTTTGTTTCCTGCGATTAAGAATTCCTCATATCAGTGAGATCATATGATACATGTCTTTCTCTTTTTGACTTAAACTGTGGAAAGGGCCAAGATGTCCATCGACAGATGAATGGATAAAGAAGATGTGGTATATATATACAATGGAATATTATGCAGCCATCAAAAGGAATGAGATCTTGCCATTTGCAACGATGTGGATGGAACTGGAGGGTATTATGTTGAGTGAAATAAGTCAAAAAGAGAATTTTTCTTAACTTTTTGATGCCTGCTACCACTTGCCTTTATTAAAATCTAGTATAAAAGTGTTTTTGAAAACTATAATTTTATAGAGAGGAAATTGCCCTTCATGAAATTTACAGTGTGCTCTGAAAAGGCAGTACCTGGAATTAAGTTGTCATGGAATATTTGGGGACATTCAAACACATACCCAGGTACATCTTGGGACACCTGGCTGGCTCAGTTGGTAAAGCATGTGACTCTTGATCTTGGGGTCGTGAGTTCAAGCCACACATTGGATGTAGAATTTACTTTATAAATAAATAATAAATAAAAACCAACCAACCAGCAGACAGACACCCAGGTACGTCCTTGATTTGCAATGGTAGCTCAGAAATCTTAGGGGAGAAACCGAGACCATTCAGGAGGCTGAGACATGTATGCACAAACCCATCTGATGGAGAATGCATAGCATAGAACTGAACGTATGCCCTGGAGGCAAAATGCCTGATTCGAAGCCTGATTCCACCACCTACTAGCTGTGTGATTTGGGGTAACTTACCTAACTTGCCTCAGTTTCCTCATTTGTAAAAAGGTATTTGATCCTAGTAGGACCTACCTTAAGGTTGTTTGACAAATAGATATTTGTAAAGTGCTTACAGTACCTGGCACATGATAAACTTGAAAGGAATATAAAAGCAGACCCAAAGGGGGACTGAACTGGAGGGAGAAACAAAGGTTCCTCAGAAAAATCTCAAAAAGAGAAATTACGCTATGGGCTAAACTGAGCAGTGGGTATAAATAGAGGCTGTGCCCAGCCATTCCCCTAGCTAAGACTGCCTTTTACCTCTGACCCTCTTGCACGAGCATGATGAGAAAATAGTTCTGAAATAAAGGAGAGCTATCTGTAGGTGCCTAGCAGCTCTGCTATGGAGAAAAAAAAACCCTGAAATTGTTGGTAACTGGAAGTGGAAGAAACTTCCCAGTTGTCCAGAAAAGAGAAAGAGCACTAGAAGTGAATGACATTACATGAATTGGCGATGGTAAGAGCATAATCCATTGGCTGGGCACAGGAGGTTTGCGACAATAAGGCAGCAGCCCAAGAGCAGCGTGGGGACTCACTTGTAAGGACCGGTTCTGCAGCTCTTGGGCAGAGCAAGTGTGGTCAATAGCAGGAGCTTCAGAAGAGTGCCTGAGGGCCAGCAGAGGAATGCTGAACTGCCGTTGAGATTTGGGGCATTTCTTGAATGTCATAAAACTATACTCATGAGTGGGTGAGGCCATCAGGTCTTAAAGGTGAAATTTTGTGATTTAAAGTTCACTTCTCAACTTCATAGGCACATGCACCTTGGACTTAGCTCGTCCTTGGACTTAGTGGGATCTCCAGCTTCAGAGCAGGGACCTTCCTAACACAATTGTTGAAAGAGGAAATAAAAAGGGGTGATGCTGAGAAGAGCAAATTTTTGTCCAGAAGTGAGTCCAG